GATCTTCAAAACAGAAAGAATTCTCTCTAGAGACTGCATTGCTTCCACCATGTTCTCTGCATTGAGACCCTGTACCAGGCATAGGCAAACTCCGGCCCTCCAGATGTTTGGGAGTACAATTCCCATCATCCCTAACTAACAGGACCAGTGGTCAGGGATGATGGGAACTATAGTCCCAAACATCTGGAGGGCCAGAGTTTGCCTACGCCTGCCCTACACCATCAAAGCTTCCAATGCCTACACGAAATGTCATGAAAACCAATAAAAGACATAGCTCCCAGAAATCATTATGATGAAGCCTGCAGTCCTCAGATACAGAAAACAAACCCTTCCGATATGTTTAACCGAAGTATTTAATGTAAACAACATTTAATAAAAACATGTTACCTCTATGTGCATCAGGGATCCCTCTCCTAATTAACACAGGATGCCTTTCATCTACAAAATGCTATGCAAACAGTCATTAGGCTTCAGGTTATCCCGGAAGAGGAAAACGAGACTCCAATGGTTGACATGATTAAATTGCCCAAGCTCTACCCCAGTAGTACTTATCCAGGTGTAAAAATGGTATTCATCTCAGTAAATCAGCCTCCATGATATTCAAGTTAAATGTCAATGCAGAGCCAGATGAAAAGCCCATTGAATTAAAGTAAGAAGAATATGAGCATTTAACTTGAAGAAAAAATGGGATCATTATGAGAAGGTTCTGTATCTTTAAAACAGATAAAACAGGATTTTTTAAAAGGATCTTTCCTGCGTGCCTTAATTCTTTACCATATGGTGCATGCATGTGACCTGATCCAAGTATGCATGGCTTGCCTCACTCATTGAGCTACCTGCTCTGTGGCTCCTTTTAGTACTTTGTTCTTTCTTACTATGGCAGAACTGTAGTCTGGAAGCATGGGGTTTGATGCATGTTATATCTCATACGGATGGTATGCTTGGTGGCTGGGACATGTAATGACATGGAAAAGGTCCATGTCAGCTTTTTCGTTGGAGTCTGTCCCAGATCTGTGTGAAAACTCTTCTCAGGTACCAGAATCTTTGATTTCAAGAGCTGGTAACGCTACTGTTGGCCTTCATGCACCACTAGCCAGCCAGAACTAAGCTTCTGTGATCATAGTTTGACTCAACTTGCCAACTAGGTGGGTTATGACCTATGCCCCTTCGATGTCCTTATTTGGGGGGGGGGTGTCATCCCCCAGAATGGCTGAAGAAACCCAGTCAGATGGACGGCATATAAATAAAATACAACAGCAATCGGACAATAAACAAAACAGTATTTTGTTCTTAACAATTCTTCTGCATTTTTACATATACTCCCTGCCCCTGGCGTTTTCCCTGTTTTTGTTTTTGGTCTTTGAATCCAGATCTTTGGGGGGGGGACTCAAATATTACTTCCTCCTCAGCCCTCTCCTTTCTCAAGTAGTAACTGTTGGTCTCATGCCCACAGGCTCCTCATCCTTGCACTTTTAATTATCCCCTTCATGCTTATAGTATAGTATTCTCCAGTGCTATGTAGCTACAGCAGTTACATGCTGTTACGGGGAGGACTAGTGAAACTTTTTGCTCCAGGTTCCACCCCCACCCCCAGTAAATCTAGCCTGGGTGCACTTTTATTTATGCCCTGTACCAAATCTGTGTGACAATGGTAAGTGTGTTATCATGTCCACCCTGAAACAATTGGTTCAATAGTATCGGGAAAATATTTAATACTAAAATTGAAAAGCATTCATCTTAGCCAGTATTTTGTGTCAATAAGGCCCACAGGGTAATTATGTGGTCTATTTTTTAAAAAAAACTTTGCTTTCAGGGAAGCCTAACTTGCTTGAGCAACACTCCTTGTCTGATCAATACTAAAAACACAAACAAAACTGGCTTCCAGCTATGGAAAGGTATCATTTTAAAATGCATACATATCAAGAAAACCTGTGGTAATCAATGGGCCACAGAATAAAGCTTGATTTCAGTTAAGTCTTATACGTATTACATATAAGAAACACCATACTGTTGCATGCTACCCCAATCTCCAGGCGGTGCCAGATTCCAGGAGTTCCAGGCACTTACCCAGGGTTTGGTTTCCTTGGAATGAGGTATAATGGGGACTGAGATGTCTCTATAATATGTGGTTTATTTACACACACACACACACACACAGACAGACACAAAATCTGAATTTACAGCATTAACACTTCAAGGGGGCCTTGAGTCCCCCATAGCCACAACCTTGGATTGAAACAGAAATCAAACATTGCTCTGTCTCTTTCCAGTTGCTGCTTTGCTTCTAGCTCACATCGCTCCACTCTGGCCTTTTGTCTTTCTAACTACCTGTGAGTTGAGGAACTATGGTACTTGTACCATCTCGCACAGAACCCCTTCCTTTGTGCTCCCATTATCTCAGCAGGAAGTCAGCTTGGCTATTCTAGGAACTAGAAGGGAGCCCAGGCATTCAGCCTAACCATCCCCCCCCCCACAAAAAAATCTCATAACAATACTAAATCAGTGAATAACTTAAAAGAAAAACTCCTCAAGTATCACTCAACAGATTGAATCATCCAGAACTTTAGCACTGTTTAATTATTCCTAAGGGCTTTTAAATAAATCAACCTTGTGTTAATTATATTTTCTGAACTTGACTCAAAATCTTTTCAGCAGTGGATCATTAAGGAAACTTGGCTTCATGGAATAACAGAACACTAAAGCAAAGGTGGATTTAAGGGAGTGTGACCACTTCGGTCGCACTAGGCAGAGAATCTCAGAAGCGCTGCCCTGTTAGCCACTTTAGTTGTGAAGCTGTAGAGGACATCTAAAATTGTGTGAGATTCTGCAGAGCATGCAAGATATCACACAATCTCACACAAAATTGGCACCAATGTTAGAGCCACTTCTTTACCAGCAGCAGAGCCTTCAGGATGGGCAGAGAAGTGGCAGCAGGTAAGATGGCAGTGCCAGCAGCAGAGCAGGCCAAGGCGACACATCCTGTTTCACCTCAAGCAGCAAATTGGGACACCCTGCCCCGATAAAGATGGATGTGTGTGTTATATGCTTGGAAAGCTAACTAGAATCTGTATGCTACCATCATAACTAACATGATTTTTCAGACCTTCCTAAACTTTGACAGGCAATGCTTTATAATCCTCTAGCAAAATGCCTCTGAAATAGAAGTGTGCGCGCACACACCATTGGCCCCTAGCGCTATTAGATGTCACAACAACAAGTAGATATGCACGCAACCATCACAGCATCAACAGTGATTCAGTTGACAAGCACCCACACACATAAGCCAAGCTAGGGAAGGAAGACAAGAAAGATTAAGGAGCTGCATTGCATCAGGTCAGACCACTGATCCATCTAGCCCACTGTTATCTACTTTGATTGGAAGTGTCTCTCCAAGTTCTCACTCCTTCCATCACCTGTTATACGATCCTGTTGTCTGGAGTTACCAGGGATTGAACTTGGGAACTTCTGTATCAAAAATATGTGCCCTATTACTGAGCCAGGGTCCATCCCCAAATCAAGTAACTGCTTTCTTCAGAGGAGATTTCTTAGGGAGGCTCTATTTCAGTGGACAATCACTAGGCCTTTATTATCTGGCTACCTAGGGTGTGTGTGTGTGGTTTTGTTTTTTGTTTTAGAGAAATGAGAGGTATAAGTACTCCAACCTGAATAATTCCAATGTGAAACTGCAATTCTCATCAGCCCAAGTGAGCATGGTCAGTGGTAAGCGATGGTAAAGAGTCCAAAACCAATATGTTCCTTTTGTAGCATGCAACTTGGTGGTGGTATTTTAAGTCATAAGATGTGCAGGGCACCCATGCATAATGAGGAAAATAAAATACAGTCAACATATTACCTTGTTTAAACAAAGGCAACCAATATACAGATAGCCAATTTATAGCAGCAGAAAAGAAAGAAATGTAAGTTGGCTAAACCTATTAGCAGGGCAGGAAAATTTTTGATTGCATTTTGTATAAGGAGATACATTTTCATCACGCCTAGAAAGCACCTATAAACCTGTAAAGTTTCAAGCGGCAGCATGACTGTGAAATGAATGTCTCTTCCATCAGAGACTACTGGCAAAATCAAGCTTGGTTCAGATAGACTTACCCCCAAGAGCCTCCTTGGCTAGTTCTGCCTTTAGTATGAAAATACAGTTTCATACTAACATGGAAAGTAGGCTGGAGACTGGGGGGGAAAGGTGGCCTCCCACCACCTCCAAGATGGATCAGCTGATGCTGTGCAATTCATAATGGGGGATCCAGATGGTCCCCCTCAAATGTGCCATGGGACTGTGGAGGTTATAGAGTTACACATGTAGAACTCCACACAATGAAAGATCCTGGATAATCAGGACCTCTCATACACACATGGTGGGTGGAGCTCTATGCACATAGATCAATATGAGTGTAGAGTCCATCCCTTTTCAGGTGCACTGAACACACGGTTAGTGAAGGGTGGGGGGCATTGGGCATGGTGGCAGCAGGTGACAGTTGCCCACGCAGCTTCATGACCTCTATATGTAACATTTGAGTGTCCAGGGGTGGTAGGAGTCAGGCATTTGAATCTCCCAATAGTGACTACAAAAAGCAGAATTTAGGAAGAACCAATCTGTGCATCTCATTTTGGAACACATGGAGGAAAATGCTTCCCGTCTCCCACACAAACAGGGTTCTCAAGAGGGAGTCCCATTGCAACCGAATACTCTATGCATTAAACATTAAGTAAAACATAACATTTCCTCACCAGAGCAATTTCTTCAGATTTTGTTTTACTCCTTTGGAAACGACTTCACTTTCACTATATGCACCCACACACTTCCATTATTACTATTATTATTGGCATAATCATGGCTTGTTTGCACAGCTTTCACTTAACTTGCATTTTATGATGGGAGTGACTGTTCCTCTGTGTCTGCAGGCACTAAGGGGATCTATGCTTACCTGTGCACACAACTGCATAGACTGTCACATTATGTGCAGATGACTTTTTTTTTTTTTTGGCATCATACACGTTTCCATAAATAACCTTGCACATTAAACATATTTGTATCTTCTACAAATGAATTCTCACATGAATAAATACCCAGGGTGGGGGAGAGAACTGTGCTTAGCCAGTGATGCGCTCAGAATTGGTGTGGGTTATTTCTTACATCCAAGTGGGTGTGCACAGGACTGCAGCCAGAATTAACCCTCACCTGCCCCTGGAGCTTATTTCTCACACTGGTTTTCATAGTAAAGTCAGGTATTGCCAAGCTTTTTAGGTTGCAGGAGCGGTCAGATTTTTGAGTAAGAGCTGTGGGCACTGGACAGAAGTCAGATCCCAAACAAAACTCATAATTAATCTGAGTTTAGAAAAGTACACAGAGCTAAAAGAAGTGGGAAAGAGCATCATCACCCTTATAAATACCTCCTTCAGCTCAATGTACTTTTCAAGGGGGGAGGAAAGTGACTACACTTCCCAGCTCATGATAAAGGTGGCACTGAATGTAGAGGTGCTCAGAGACTTTGTAGGCAGTGAAGGCTTCAGGGGCACTATTGTGCCCATCACAGGGGCTACATTGGCAACCCCTGGGAAAACCATTAGAAACCAGACATGTGAACATACAGATAAAAAGAAAGATTTTTAAAAATGCAAGGGGGGAATTCATCTTGCATGTAGTTGCATGTACATTTTATATACATCATACCTTTAAGAGATCAATTACATTATTTTTCTCTCCCTCACACATAAAAGTTACATTCTTTCACATGACATTAAAGAGAATTTGTCCTAAAAACACCTGATTAACATCATCAAGGAATCCAGCCGGAACAAATCTCATGACCTAACCCACAGCTAAGGGAAAGAAGTCACCCTTAAATGTAATGTTTAGTGCCAGATGTGTGTCCCCCTCCAAATATAATTATGCAACAAGTGTATGAGATCAGCATTGAGTCGCTTAGCAGAACAAGGGCTCAGCCAGAAATGAAAGGAATAAATGGGCAAAAACCTCACTGTATCAGAACACCTCTGATGTGACCCCAGCTCATTTGCACATATCACCCCACACTCTAGGTTTCCACTATGTACAGTGAAGAATTAAAGTAGCCACTAAAAATACAGGGCAATTGGCCCTTTGCAGTACTAATTACTATTCCTGATCACATTGTTAAGCAGATCTCTGCAGAACACCATTTACAGAATTCATACCATACCAAATTATGAAAACACAGGAGAGGGGTTTCATATTGAGATGCATAGCAAAACCAGGAATTTAGAAGCATGCATCCAGAGGTTTGTTTTCAGAATGTAACCATGTGTGTATTTTTAAAATATTCCCAGCAAAAACACCAATAGATTATTCGGATGATCCTATAAAATGCCATTTTTAGGAACATACATTCAGCTGTCTGCAAACCAGAGGCACAGTTCCAGTGAGAGGAAGGGGGGATTATCCTGTGCTTTCTGATAACAGCTGAGTCAGATTCAGATCAATTTTTGTTTCTGGAAAAATCACACCTGATCTGACACTGTACATGTCAGGATTTAGCATGAAACAAATGTTTCAAAGCTGAAATATAAGCTGCTTGCAATTACGATCTACAGCAGAAATAAAGATAGTATTTCTATCAGTGCAAACCGACTGTATGTTGTTCTCCTAATGCTTCTGTTAAAAAGGGCTAGCACCACACAGACCAAGGCAGAGATCACAACCAGTTAGTATCATGGTGATCTTCGTAAACTAGATATCCTTTAACACACATCTTAGTCACCGCCACATCTCTCCCCTTTGCACAAATACTTGGATTGGCATGTCTCTCCCAACAGCCCTGCCTGAAACACATTTCCGTGGAAGCAAGTCCCCGTGACTTCGTTGTGTTTACTTCCGCATAATGCGATTAGAAGCAGGGTGCCTAACAGGTGTTAAAAGACTCAAAGAAAGGCACAGGTATATAGAAGTCTATGGCACACTCTTATGGGAAAACACAATGGCTCACTCCCAAGTCCACCTGCAAATAATTGGGGCTTGGTGTTTGGCAGACGAACAGCTCAGAGCTGACGATCACTGTGGGGCTGTCCAGACTGACGGATGGAGGCGTAGCGTTTTGAATTAAGGAGTCGTGCATTATATTATAGGACAGCACTTCTTAAATAACCTTTAAAAGGGGTGAGGTTGGGGTCAGAAACTTTTAATTCTGCACAGCAATAAGATCCTATAGCCCTAGTTCAGCAGCTCGGAGATCGATCCCCTCTTTGATTTAACTTAATTCAATATACATTACGGGTTTTCCAGTCACACAGTTCGGAAGGAGTTCCCATCACCTTCCTCGAGAACACCCAGGAGCTCAGCCTCATTAATCTCCCATCGCCGCCACCAACCTCGAAGACGGACGCAAACAAAACAAAAAAACACACACACCCTCGGCTCGCTTTTGCTAATTCACTTCGGGCTGCAAGCACCAATCGATCGGAAAGTGCATTATTAAATTAAAAGTTTGCGCCGTTGAGTAATGGCTATAGGGTTAAAAGGCCCGCCACGTTCCTCAGCTGCGTGCCCGCCCCCGGCCGCCCCAAACAATGCCTGGATCAGTCTATTATGCCCCGGAATGGACGTGCCCACCGGGCCGGGGTCGGGGCTTGGCCTGCGGTCAAACGCCGCTTCCGAGCCCCACGCCTCCCCAGCCGAGCGGTTGCTCGCTCGCTCGCTCCCCCTGCGCAAGGTGCGGAGTCCCCTCCAGAGGCCACGCCGCCCACCCGAGCAAAAGCGCGAAGCCGGCGCGGGGGCAGCCCGTCTCTGTGGGAGGCAGGAAAGGCTCGGCACGTTCCCAGCCGCTCGGAGTTTTCAAGCTGGGCTGCCTTCTTCTAACGAGGTGGGATCTGGACAGGAGGAAAGGAAGGTGCGCGCGCGCGCGTTCGGTTTCCAGAAACGGATCTAGAATGCGCCCCCCAAAACGCAGACCTCTCCTTCCTCGGCTCACCCACTTTCCTCGCCTCCCAGTCTGAGAGAAGAAGTCCGACGCGAGAAAAGCCGCCTGCACTCACCGGAGCTATGCACTCCCCGCCCCGCTGTGCCAAGCCATGGGCGTCGAGGGCAGCCAGCAAGTCCCAGCTGGGGTTAAATCCTCGGCCGCATCCGCCGCTTGCAACAATCCCCACCGAATCCCTCCTTCCTCCTGCTCAGGTGCCCAGAAACTCCGCGCGCGCTGTCTCCTCAGGCGCCCGCCCGTGCCCGGTTACTATTCCACCCGCTTCCACGGCGCTTATCGAGCTGCTGCTGCTGCTGCTGCAAGAGGCTGCGTTTCTCCACTTGCGTGCCGCACCTCGCCGCTCCAAGCGGAGCGCATAGCGCCGCCTGGCTGCCGCGCGCCAGAACCGCGGCGTCCAGAAAGCTCGGCACGGTGCTGGGCCCTCCCGCCTTTTTAAAACACACCTCAGCTGAGCGGAAGGGGAGCGCGCGGCTTGCTCGCGGGCGCGTGCCGTTGTAGGCGCCGGCAGCCAATAGGGGAGGGGAGCGCCTGCCCGCCCGCCTTCCTGCGCGGGCAGGTGCAGGCCGCGCAAAGCGGTGGCTTACAAGCTCCAGCTCCGGCCCGCCGCCCTCTTTTGCCCCATTTGCGGGCTTTCAGTGGTTCGCGCCTTTAGGACAGGCGCTGATTGGCTGCCTCACAAAAACCCCGTCTCGGTCGTGTGGAAGGAGAAGGCGACGGTGCCCTAAGCCTGGGGGTAGCTGCTGTTTTCTTCTGCTGGGCTGGGGGGCAGAAGAGCAGGAAAGGGTTATGTTGCCCAGGACACATTCCTCGTTGCACCCCCAAGGGTGACACATGTAGGAGCTCTGCAATAAACAGCACTCATTTTGAACGTAGAGGGTTTACAGGCAGTCAGGAACTAGCCAGACTCAGAACTCCTTAGCTGCTCGGCCTCTCTAGCTCTGTAAAGAGGACTGAAGTGATGGTGTTTGTTATGCATAATTTGAGTCGGCATGAATAAGCCGCCTTGGGAAACTGGTGAGACAATATATAGGCCTACTGCCAGAAATTCTGTGGTGAGGCCCTTCAGTTATACAATATACGCAAATATGGGTAGCCAGACGGGGAGAGTTCTTTAATTTCTTTCAAATTAATAGATATACAATTTAATTGAATAAAATGATTAAGCACCAGCCATCCCAATGCCTTTACACTTGTCGGTAACACACTGCGAAGTGGCAGCAGGTTTAGTTCTTAGTGAGCAGTGAACCTGCAAACTATGTCTGAAGACCAGAGATATGCCATTGGGTTTCATTCTTCTTCCCCTATTTTGGACAGATTCTTCTTTCCCAGTTGCTATAAGTGTAGTTTGTGATAACAAAAATTGTTGTTAGTTTGCCTCTCATATCTGATCTGGTTTGAAATTGCCTCCAAATTTTGCATGCCTATTTGGGAATATGGAATTGGCACATGAGAGGGAAGAAGGAAGCACTTTTTTTTTATGCCGTGCAAAATGTGGCCAGTTGCACCCAGGCACAAACTGATGTGAAGCTCTGGTCTTGGAAATGAACCCACAAGGCAGCTTGTGCTGATGCTACAGAAATCTCCCTATGTCACTGCTCCCCTGCCCATACACCAGTACAAACCCCCCTGTCTATGGTTTGCTACACTGGACAGCAGCCAAGGCACACAATGTGCTGCTGCACATGGACTATACATCACCACCTGCATTCAGTTTTATATGGCATCCATCCATGCTGCTCGTCTGAAGCAAGATCCATCTGGCTGCTTCACTGTTTGATGCCTACATTGCAATTAGCACCTTCATCACAAGACCCAGGAGCACTGGCACTTGTTTTTCTTTTCCTTTCTAAATAGCAGTTTCCACCCTTGAAACTACAGAGCATCATGTTAATATTTTCTAGCTGCTTTATACAAATATGGAAGGCTTGATCTCATAGCTAAAATGCCCACAGGTGCTGTTTCTTAAGCATCTCAGGTGGCCCAGGTATTGCTTGGTTTGTTTACCTTACCTGTCTACTGGGCTACAGGGTTGCCTTCTGCCTCTGTGTAAGGTTTGCTCTGCAGTGTCAGGGAAGGAGGCGGAAGCAAGTTCCTGGCTCTTGTGATGCAGGATGTGCTAATTGCAATGCAAGCATCAAACTGTGAAGCAAAGGCTTCGTAACAGCATGATTCTCCATCAAGGATTTTGACAGCAAATCCACCACTGGGGGATTGCTTTTCCCTTTTTGGAATACATTTTTAAATATATGTGCAATTACGTTTCTATTTGCTATGGCAACTTACCCATCCAGAAATTTGTGTTGTGCTCTCATTGGGAAAGGGTTCTGCATTTGGCCCCTTATTTTGTGGCTATGGCTGAAGAAGGAAGAGTGAGCTACATTTAACAGTTGCTTGCAAAAGGATTTACTAATTTTTAATTGAAAACAGCTCTCCTGTAAATTGATCCTTGGCTATTCAGATGGTTTCCTGAAGTATCAGTACCATTTGCCCCTAATGCCCCCAGAATACGTGACAGAGCTCGCTTCTTGCAAAACCCAGATGAAATAGCCTTATGCATTAGCTCTGGGAATCTAGTCCTGATGTTATGCTCTGTTGCCTTTTCTACAATAGAGCACAGCACTGGGTTGATAGAGAGCCACAAGGGATTACATAGAGGAAAGCACTGAAATGCTGAGAGAAACAGTTGAGTCAACTGGATGATAAATGAAAGGCAGACTCTCATTACAAAGGGAGGCAACTGTACTTGTTTTTGGAACTTTGTATACTTTGTTAATGCTCCTGTAGCCTCTTTCTTAAGAGCAGTAGAAGAAAATATTTGGCAACTGGTCAGTGTAAGAAACAGCAGATCTAGTCAAATGAACAAAGATAATCAGCAAACAGAGAAAAATGACAAGAAAAGGCTAGAAAACTTCTAGAAAAGGAGGAAAGGAAATACTGGGTGGATGGAGAGAAATTACAAGAAAGATTGCACTTAAATGCCAGTTTTTAACTATGAGTGAAGTTCTAAGTTAAAGGACACAATGTGTGATTGCAAGGGTGACCTCATGTAACCGTGATAAAAGTCAGAAAAGTCCCCTACGAACAAAAGTAGAATTTGTTGATGACAAATATATTGACGGGGTCCCTGGACCAGTTGTGGTCTTTTTAATTGCAGACTATTTTTATACTTAATTCCAATGTCCCCTTATCTGGGATGAATCTCATCTTCACAGAGCAGTTTCTATTTTCTCTCTGGACTTGAACAATGGTGCAGTTGAGAAGGATGAAATAACGAGCTGCTTTTCAGGCCATTCAACAAAAGTCTTCAGTTAGGATAGCTACAAGAAATTCAGACCACAGCTCAGAGGGCTTGTATCGCCTAAGAATTTTACTCCAGCCCAAAGCTTCTGTGGAAATAATCTGCTCATGATGACCACCAGCTGGAATTCATGGGATGTGATTCATTGAAGTTGAACATTATAATACAGAATAGGACTTTAGTGCTTCTGGCTGGACAAAACAGCTCCAGCCTGGGATCTGTGCAGAAGATAAACAGCACTAAGAATAGTTCCAAAAAAGTGAGAGCTGGACCATAAAGAAGGCTGATCGCTGAAGAATTGATGCTTTTGAATTATGGTGCTGGAGGAGACTGTTGAGAGTCCCATGCACTGCAAGAAGATCAAACGTATCCATTCTTAAGGAAATCAGCCCTGAGCACTCAGTGGAAGGACAGATCCTGAAGCTGAGGCTCCAATACTTTGGCCACCTCATGAGAAGAGAAGACTCCCTGGAAAAGACCCTGATGTTGGGAAAGATTGAGGGTACAAGGAGACCAGACTCCATGGACCAGAGCATGCCAGGCACTCCTGTCTTCCACTGCCTCCCGCAGTTTGGTCAAACTCATGTTCATAGCTTCGAGAACACTGTCCAACCATCTCGTCCTCTGTTGTCCCCTTCTCCTTGTACCCTCAATCTTTCCCAACATCAGGGTCTTTTCCAGGGAGTCTTCTCTTTTCATGAGGTGGCCAAAGTATTGGAGTCTCAGCTTCAGGATCTGTCCTATAGTGTATAATGAGTTGGTATCACATTTTTTAAAGCATGTGGAATGGACTTATTCTTGATTGCTTTGTTTATCGGTGAACCACATCTTTGTTGGTAAAAACTTTGGTTTGAGATTTATCACGTGGGAGTATTTATCATTGTTTAAATAAAATCAGGCAAATCTGTGGAATATCCAAACTTTGGCTCATCAGTAGTATGAATATTTCTGTTTCCTCTGTTCTGCAGATGGTAGCAAAGTGATAGTAACAAGTGTATCACTAATTATGCAATTTGAATGGGAGTGATAAGGCAGAACAGATTTCTTTACACTAGTAATCTAATTTGCTGATAAGAAACTTCAATGAAGCTGCTAATTGGAGATCCTGTTAAGCAGGACATCAGCCATCATTAAATGTTCTGTTTAAACATTCATTTTTGCACTGGTTAGGTATAAACCCTTTTGCTGCAACAATTATGTCCTTGGAGGAAACAAGATTAATTTCCAAATAAGAGAGGAAAAATTTGCTTTGGAATTGGCTTCTGAGGGCAGATTTCACATGAAACCTTTCCTACACAGATGACCAGAGGGGGGTGTGCCTGTGTGTGTGTGTGTGTGTGTGTGTGTGTGTAGCAGAGAAGTGTGATGAGTTCTGCATGTAGTATGTGACAGCTGTTTATTGAGTTTCAATAACTCATATTACTGAGCTGATTGTTGATGGTGCTTTTATAAGGGTAATATAGATGCAGATATTTTGATTTGATTTTTTTAAAAAGTGTTGTAATTATTGAAAATGTTAACACTATATTAGGAACATTTTGCTACAGAATTCTTATTTGGTTATTTTTATGTATTGCTGTTTGTTTGTCTACTGCATATATTGTGAGTATCCTTGAACACGATTTCTTGGCAAAAAGGTAGCAGAAACACTAGATATTTAGAGGTACTAGATAGTGGTGTTCAGTAATATTTAGCAGTTGTGTTCTCACAAAACAAGAGCATTTTTAACTGATTAAAATATCAGTAGGGTTTTAATATATTTTTTGTAAATCATACACCGGTGAGACATGTGATGTCAACATGAGGATTTTACATAAGACATCTCTAGCAAAATGAGAGAGTGAAAAAACTAACCAAGCCAAGATACTTTATCAATAAATAGTCAAGGAGTAAAAAGAGTTCCTTACATTAGCTTAGGTAAAAGAAATGATTGTAAAAATGTAGAAGAAATTGGTTATAGAAGAAACATTCATATATTTTTTCTTTCTGCACAAAAATAAATATTCTAATAAGAATAAACACATATTCATTCAATTTGTTGTCCTGAAGTCAACCTATACTAAACTGCAAATGAAATACATTTTTATTTAGAGGAGTACTGAAGGGAAGTAAATAATCCATTAGAAGGATTTTTTT